GTATCATTTTATGTGACAGTCTGACCAACTTACGTTTGACTAAACATTTCTAATTTTTTAGAAATGAGGAAGGGTAAGAAATCAAATTCGGCAAAATTTAAACAATTCTTTCACTTTTCCATATTTTACATGCTTCCAGAATCACGTAGAAGTTTCAATATTTCCGATAATGGTCATTTAGATGAACAAAATCAAGATTTAACTCTTCTGTATAATAAATACGAATGTCATTTGTGTCACTGTGTCATTCTCGTTTTCAACTTTTTAAATAGATAGATAGATGAATATATAGATATATCATACCATTTTGGAATCAGGCAAACTTCAGTGAAAAAAGTAAAAATCACTCCAGGCCAGATTTTAAATTTTCCTGAAATTTCGGATTCCCAAGTTTTATTGATTATGACTACTGTTTTTTAATTCCGCCATCTTTAAATTTGAACAAATAGAAAAATTTATCAAAGGGACAAAACTCTCTTTCAATATTCTCGTTTCAAATATATATATATAAAAAAACTGTTCTGATATTATAATGATTCAAAATAAAATTTTCATGAATTTCGACTTTATAGATAGCATTTAGATACGTAACTAAAATATCGCACCATTTGGAAAGATAAGACCACTCCGTGTACAAATTAAAAACATTCTGTGTCGGACGCACAATCCTGAAATTAATTTCGACTGTTTTCGTCGATTTTTACATGTTTTTTTTGCGACGGAGTTTTTGTGTGATAAAAATTTTTATAGCTTGGAAATTAATTTGGGAATAATCGAAATTATTTGCGAAACCCAGAGAAAGTCATCCATGCAATAAAAATAATTGTTTGTACAGAAAGTAACGACCTACGTACATCAAATTGCCTTTAAATTAAAATGGCTGCAGAAGAATTATCATTGAACTTTTAAAAGGTAAGCTTGAATATTAATGCAATATTTAAATGCAAATATAAAAAAAATTTTTTTTTTTTATAATTTATTGTTTTTCAATCATATTACTCTTCTAGAAATGACTATTTTATAAATTTCTGAAGGCCCAATCAAGAACCCTCAAAAGAATTTTTATGAAAATTTAGATCCGAAAGGTCTTATATTTGGCATTTGGGCCTTATATTTGGGCATCATATTTGGTAAACATTCAGTAAAAAAAGAAGCTTTGTAAGTAGGCCGTCATCTAAATAAAAATCTAAAAACTGAAAAAGGTTTCATTTCGTTTTTTTTATGTTACTTTTTGTTTCTTCATTATTTTTTTAAAAATAAATTTTAAGGAAAACTTCGACAGATTTTAGTGAATTAACAGGAAAAATATATTGGAAAAATGCCAGTGACATACGTCCAATTTCGTTGCAAATTAATATTTATATTTTTATTCATTTTTTCTTCTATTTGGACATAACCGTCTATTAACAATGAACAGAGTAATAAAATTAATGATAATAATATATATTTTTTTAATATGATTTTAAAAATTTTAGAGAGAAAATTCTGTGTTTTATTATTTCTTTCATTATCCAGTCTATCCTCTAACCAGTAATTATTTTTAAAAAGGATTTCATCCGTAAGTAATACCTCTTATGCGACATAAGCGACAACAGATATAAATATATAATATCAAAGTAAGACAGACCGTGTTTTCATCAAAAACAAATTCAAATAATATATATATATATATATATATATATTTTTTTTTTATCATATATATTTTTTCATATATCTTTTTTCATTCAAAAAATAAGGTTTGCGAAATGTGGTCTGTCGCAAAAAATTTCCAAAATAATATATTGTTTAATCCACTGTTTGGTCACCGTAAACGTTTAATGGCGTTGAAAAATAATTTTGCGAAAAAATTTTTTGCCTGCGCAAAAAATTCAATATAAATGAAAAAAAAAAAAAATAAATTTTGCCAGACTAATAGATTTTATAGGATATTTTGAAAAAATAAAAATATTATACGATAAAAAAAAATAAAAAAAAAATGAAAAAAAATCAAAAATAAAATTTATATTTATATATATTTTATATATATTTTCAAAAATCCCAATAGTTTGTAAAAATTTTAACTTTTTTTTTAAAATGAACGAAATTTAAAAAAAAAATTATAATGTCTAATGGAGCTTAACATTATTTTTAAAATTTAAATGCATTTTTAAAAAAAAAATAAAAAAAAATATTTCAAAAATAATAATAAAATATTAAATTTTGTTTGATTAAAACCCTGCTAACATGGAAGTATCCAAGAATCATTTGAGGCATAAAATGCTTTATGAGTTCGAAAAAATAAACTCAGCAAAAAAAATAAAATAAAAATAAAAAAAATAGTTTATGGAGAGGAATGTGTGAATGAAATTCAAATTGCAGAAAATGGTTTTTTAAAATTCAGAATGGAATTTCACCCTTAAAAATAAAAGATCGAACCGGACGTCCAAAAAAAAATTTTGATGAAAAAAATGTCTTGAAAATTTTTTTGAAAATAAAAAAAAAAAAAAATCAAAATGAGGAAAAATGGCAAATAAAATAAAAGTATTCAAACCATAAAACTTTTCATCGTCATCTTCAACAACTTTTAAAAAGTTCCTAAAAAAAAAAAAAACTGAGTGAATGTTTCTTTATTACTCAAAAAATTTAAATTCCTTGAACTCAAAATTATTATGTGCCAACAAATGATTTAATTTATACTTCCATTTAAAAAAAATTTAGAAAATTTTTGAGAAATTAAATTTGTTATTTTATAAAAAAAAAAAAAAAATAAAAGATGGGATTTAATAACTATATATATAATTATCATAAAAATATTTTTTATATTTTATATATAATATATATTAATATATATATATATATATATATATATATATATATATATATATATATATTTATATATATATATATATATATATATATATATAGTGATAGAAAAAAGGATGAGTGAGAAAAATATGGAATCTCACTTCTAAGTGTGTGATATTTTTTTTTTTTTTTTTTTTTTTGGCAGCATTTCACCCCAAGCAAGGCGGGAAGCCACTAGGACGCAAGGGTTACAGAAAATTTGGAGCAAGATCAGATAGGGAGTGATAGAGGAAAGGATGAGGAGAAGGATAGTGGATAGATCAAGGCAACTGGAGATGTCGATTGACATTACATTTGAATAGTTGGAGATTATAGCTCTAAGGGAAACAGGAATAGGGAAGGGAGTTCCACAGGCGAGAGGTGCGAGACATGAAGCTATTGGAGTAGAAGAGACGGCTACATTTAGGAGTTTCGACAGTGAAAGGGTGAGAGCAGGATGCCAGCCTCGTAGGGCGCTTTGAACTCATGAAGTCTGGGAACCAGCGAATGCAGCTCCTCGGAGCAATTGCCATGAAAGTATTTGTAAAACAGACAGAGAGAGGCGACGGTGCGTCTGTGGGAGAGCGACTGTAGACGAGATGCCAGAACAGGGCCAATTATATTGCATATCCGCCTCTGGAGCTTATCAAGAACCCCGAGGTAAACAGAAGGGGGTCCAGACTATATATGGCAGCAATACTCCATGCAAGGGCGAATTGTTGATTTGTAGATCTGGAGGATCGGTCCCGGGCAGAAAAATTTCCTGGCGCGGCTCAGGGTGCCAACTTTCCTTGTAGTGGACGAAACAATTGACTCAATGTATTTGTTCCATCTCAGGTCAGCAGTCAACGTGAGACCGAGCAGCCGCAGAGAGGTGCTCTCGAGAAGTTGAGCGTCAGACATTCTAATGGGTGGCAGGGAAGGATCTCTGTGGTGATTAATAGAGAGCAGTTTTGTTTTTGAAGCATTAAAGTTGACCAGCCAATTCCTGCCCCAGTTCACAACCGATTGGAGGTCCTTTTTCACAGACGTACGGCCAGGTGAAGTTTTGTCAGTGATACTAGATTTGTTTTTTTGGCAGGAATAAATTGTGGTGTTATCCGCGTAGATGTCGACTTGGGAATTTATGGCGTCAGGAAGGTCATTTATGTAGATAAGGAATAGAGTGGCGCCTAGGATGGAGCCTTGAGGAACACCTGCGTTCGTGGGATAGGAACTGGAGGAGAATCCGCTGAGAACGACCTTCAATTCATGGTTTGACAGGAATGATTGTATTAGGTCAAACAATCGACCCGTAATGCCATAACCCTGGAGCTTGTGAAGAAGGTCGGCATGCCAAACCCTATCAAATGCTTTGGAGATGTCTATTGCCAAAAACGAGATTCCCCATTATTTTGAAGAGCTTGGTAGACAGTTTCAGTGATGGCTGTAAGCACATCATTTGTAGATCGGGCAAAAAGCGGAAAAAAATATTGCTTGTCTGAGAGCAGATTATGGGATGTAAGGTCGTTAACCACTTCGGTATTGATTAGGGCTTCGAAGATTTTGCCGAAGAGGGGAAGGAGACAGATAGGACGGTAGTTAGAAGGGTCAGAGGGGTCGCCAGAGTTCTTGAAGACAGGAACAATCGAAAAGGACTTCCAGCAGTCAGGAAAACAAGATTCCTTGAGGCAGAAGTTATATAGTTTCGAAAGGGCAGGCGCCAGTTCAGACGCGCATTTCTTCAAGACAATGGCTGGTATCCCGTCTCCAACACTAGCCTTGTGGGGTCTAAATTGGAGATAACGCCCAATACCAATGACAGGGTTATGTTTAACCCACTCAATGGGGCCTATGTTCACTTTTATATTTACATACGCTCTATCTCTGATATTGAAAATCTTTAATCTATAAATATAGCATTCTTAAGACTATATTTCTTCATATATATATATATATATATATATATATATATATATATATATATATATATATAATCAATCAACGGTGGGAGTGATGGATACGGCTTAAAAGTGGAAAGTGTAACATCATCGTAGAACCTAATTTTAGTTGTCCAATAATGAAATAGCCAGACCATGAATATGCAAATCGATCCGTCAAAATCGATAGCCGATTAATAAATATAATACTAATGATGCAGCTTGTTGGGTGTGTGGGGATTACA